CGTCGTCGTTTTTCCTAACTTTTTTGCGTCGGGGGGCTCCGCCCCCCAGACCCCCCTTCATTCTAAAAAGATTGCTTCATCTCCAGATTACTCGATCTTGCCCCCTTGTAATTTTCCCCCCTTTTCAGGGGGGGGGCTCGGGCCCCCCAGACCCCCCTTTTATCACGCCCAAGCATCTGCCTACAGAAAACTCGATTTTTCCCGCCTTTTTTTAAAAATTTTGGTTTTTGGGCCTAAAAAAACTAAACCAGTTGAGCTAGGATTGTGAGATTTCGCGTGTGCCGACCCAAGGACATACCCAAAAAGTGTCCCAAATCTCACCGAGATCGGCCAACCTTTTCAGGGAGTAGTGCGACCAAAGACACACACCACACACACGGACAGACAGACAGACAGAAGACAGAAAATTTTTCAACCCATTTGGAAACAGGCTTCGCTATCGCTCAGCCAAAAAAATTCAGAAAAATCAATATATTTTCCATCCGCTAGTTTAAAATAAAGGAAGAAAAAGGGATTTATGGGTATTACTAATAACTTTGCGTATTCATAAGTTCAACAACAAGGGATATCGAATGGTAATTGAGGCATTTGTGAATCGTATTAAGAAATTAAATGCGGGCATTGAATGTTACTCGACTGCAAACGAAGGGTTCGGGTTCAGGGGACACACCGTTAACAGGGAACCCCTTAGAAATTGCGTTCATGTTAACAACAGCAACCCATACTCATTAAACTAAATTCCATGTTTTTGGGGCCCAAAAATTTCCTCGGGGGTCATTGACTCGTACTTATTTGGTGTGCTGATCACGAAATGATTCCAATTTCATCCCAGACCTTTATTTTTCCCCCAAAATTTACCAATTTCGGACCAAAATTTTCAAGTCGAGTTTTTTGTAGTTTCCTGTTTTTTTTGGGTGTGCTGATCACAAAAATTTGACTTCCAATTTCATCCCAGACCTTTATTTTTCCCCAAAAATTTCCCCATTTCGGCCCAAAATTTTTCAAGTCGATTTTTAACATTTTTCCCTGCAGTTTTTGGTGTGCTGATCACGAAACTGACTTCCAATTTCATCCCAAACCTTTATTTTTCCCCCCAAAATTTACCAATTTCGGCCCAAAAATTTTTCAAGTCGAGTTTTACATATTTTCCTGCATTTTTGGTGTGCTGATCACGAAAAGGATTTCCCAAATTTCATCCCAGACCTTTATTTTTCCCCAAAATTTACCAATTTTGGCCCAAAATTTTTTTAAGTTAAGTTTTACATATTTTCCTGCAGTTTTGGTTTTGCTGATCACAAAAAGGATTTCCCAAAATTTTCATCCTAGACCTTTTTTTTTCCCCCAAATTTACCAATTTGTGACCAAAATTTCAATTTTTTAGTTTTTCTCATTGTTTCCTCCCGTTTTCAGTAGTATAATCACGAAAATGACTTAAAGCCCGGGCCCCTTTTGTTATGGAAGACCCCGTATTGGCCTTATTTTGCACATTTTCTTCACCATCTCCTATAAGAATGTGTTCAGTCAACGCATCGCTCGCCTACTACGCGCCCAAACTAAAAGGCGCGTACCCCTAGTTTACAGTGTACCAATGTTTGCTGTTATGCAATTCACGGCGTTTGCTGTGAAAAATTTTCACGGCGTTCATTGTGATCTCGGGCACAGTGTTCACTGTGATCTGGCCACAGTAAACGCCGTGAAATTTGGGGCCTGATTTGCAGCACTTCGGTGCTCAGCGGCGTCAAACTCACAGTGTTTACTGTAGACCAGATCACAGTGAACACCGTGAAAAAGATCACAGTGAATCGCGTGAGCAGATCACAGTAAACGCTGTGAATTGACCTACAGTGAAAACTGGTAATAAATTAACGGCATTGACAGGACATTTTTGGTAGAGTGCCCGCACAACGCAATTGAAAGCATGGCTGGCCGCCGAGCCAGAATCTGGGGTTCGATTGCCGACATCTCAGAGTTTCGGGGAGCGTTGTGTCTCAAAGAATGTTAGAAAGACCTTGGGTCAGAACCAAGAAGACTAGGTTCGAGCGAAACTCTTATTTTGAAATACCACAGCAAAAGTAAGAGAAATTACTGGCAAATTTTTTATCAGGAATTTATTGTACTTAGTACAACAATTTTTCCACAAAGTACAACGGAACCGGCATGACGAGTGCTGGGCAGTCCAGGCCTCGTTGTGGTTTGTAAAATTCTCGTTGTTCTTTTATTGTACAGTTATTTTTCTGTACTTTTGTTGTACTACTCACACTTTTTCTTGCAGTGTAATGACTTAAGAAATTTTGTAATCGTTACGAAAATCTGTAACCATGTTACGAAATTCTGTAACCATGACAAAGAAAAAAATTATATCCATCGTGATACAAATTTCTGTACCACATGTAATTGCAAAAGCTGCGTAACCATGTTACAAAATTCTCCTCTGATTTTTTATGGATTGATCTTTGACCGGAAGTAAGAGATTAAGAGACATAAGGCTCTGATGACATCCCGGATGTTGCGGAGGGGTACGTAAAAACGTGACGCGATCTTAAAGGATTGAAATCCAAGGGCCGGCCCATTTTCCCATACTTGTCACACCAAGAACTCACGTTTCGTTTGTGTTCCCCTTACTTCCGCCTTGAATCAGTTGTGAGCATCTGTTCACTACTCAACAGGGTGGGCACAAACCTTTTCATACTGTTTTCAGTACGTGGCATTTTTTCCTGGCAGGCCTGGTTCCGGTTCGAGACTTGCACAGTATAATCACTACGGAGAATCGCTTCTTAATACGAAGAAAACGAAGGCGTTGTTAATTCTACGAAGAATGCTTCTATTGTGAAGCAAGATCCTTCGTAAAACGAAGCATTTCTTCGTAATACGAAGCAGAATCCTTCGTAACACGAAGAAATTCTACAACGCCTTCGTTTTCTTCTATGAAGCAAATGCTATCGTAGGCACGGGTCCATTTAAACTCGTAATCATTGCGAGTTTCCATTGTGAATCAGCCATATTATCAGCTTATTTACATTCCAACGAACGTGACACTGTGTTCAAAGGAATACATGCGTAGTAAAATCGGTTCCTGGTTTTCCCAGGAACTCTTGGAAATCGCCTATGCCTTCACCCTGGGCTTCCCGGGTAAACCAGGTTCTGTTTTCACCGTGTGACATTTTACAGATTGGAACGGCAGAGCAGCCTTGTGCTACATCTAGTTTAACCTTGCGTTCTTTTCCGCCTCAGGATTCGAAGGATTTCCCTTTTGCGAGGTTGCAGATGGAGTGCCCAGTGTGTTTCGAAGCCTTCGACCCGGAGGTGCGTCGTCCGAAGACCCTGCCGTGCGGGCACACTTTCTGCCTGTCGTGCCTCCGGAACCCCGATTTCGGTGATGAATGCCCTCAGGACCGGAAGGTGAGTTGAGTGATCATCTGACAGAACAACGTATCTTCGTGGGGAATCCAACAGTACATACGCTTTTATGTACGAATGCCACACAGTTCTGCGTTTTGATTGAGCGCTGCATCGGTGCGGGAATTCCGTCATTGAATGTGGTCCAGTAACATTTTGAAACAGTCAAAACTCTTAGAAGAATAGCTTCGTACTAAGAAAAAATAAAGGCATTGTAAAATCTACGAAGATACGCTTCGTATTTTGAAGCAAAATCTTTCGTAGTACGCAGCATTTCTTCATAATTCGAAGCAGTTCTTCCACGCCTTCATTTTCTTCGTAGTTATAAGGCAAATGCTTCGCAGGTTTTTAAGAATGTTGTTCTTTCTTCGCACGCTGAAAGATTGAATAAAGCTTCAAATGACCGTTATTTGACCTTAAATTTCCGCAATTAAATTTTGCATCCGACGAGATATAAGAACTTAACAATATGTTCCAGTTTTCTGTCAGTTACATTGAGGTCGCATGTTTACATGGAAATGATCTTGGAAGCGGAAGAAGGGAATAATTCGACTTATCTCCAAATTGAGTTTTCATTATGTCGTGCCGCGGGGCATTCTACGTCAAACCATCATGTTCCACAACGCACTTGCTCACATCCGGCTCCCAATTTTTTTATCATAGCCTTCCACTCAAGGACCACTCGTATAAATTTTCTTGAATAAAAATTAAGAACTTTAGCCGTGGCAAATTTTTGAAATTTGAAAAAAAAAAATTTAGAAGTTGCCTTTTTAGTCGTTTAAAAATTGTGTCTTTAAGCCCTCAAACGGGTTGAAAACAGTAAATGGCAACGCAATACTGTGAGAAACAGCTTTGGGACCCTCAGCCTTTGCCAAAAAGAGCGTTTTTGACTAAAAATCACGGTTTTTTGAATTCCCAAAATACGCACGCCATCTTACTTTTCGATCTTATTGGTATCAAAGGGCCGCCCTAGGGGGTACTCTTACTGCCAGCAAAATATAGGGGACGGCAATCCATAAACACCAGAGATATTGTCAAAAAAACTCTTTAATTTACCTTCCTGGATCCCCAAAAATTGACTATGTGACACCCATATTGTTCTAGTGCATTGAAATGTTATCCTAGTGTCTGTCTTAACACTCTGGAACCATTCCAAAGTGAAGGACAGCATTACAAGAGTTGAGGCCTACGATTTCTTGCTGTGTAGTGCCTAAATTCTTGTAATGCCAACGTGGCTCACGCTACCTAGCGTAAACTTGGTCTACACACTGCGAGAAAACGTGTGGATAGTACAACAAAGAACAACAAAAACTGTACAATTAAAGTACAACAGGGATTGTACAAACTCGGTACAAACCACAACGAGGCCTGGACTGCACAGCACTCGTCATGCCGATTCCATTGTACTTTGTACAACAACTGTTGTACTAAAGTACAATAAATACCTGATAAAAAATTTGCCAGAAATTTGTGTACTTTTGTTGTGGTCATTACTAGCAGTGCACTTGGATTAGCAGTTTGTAGTGTCAACCACGATTTCAAGACACCATATCTTTTCATTTTAGGCCTTCAGGGGCGAGCCGGTTCACTTCCCAGACAACTTCGCATTGCTGAGCTTGCTTTCGGAGATGCCAACCAGGTACTGCAAGGAGTACTGTTACCTTTTCGTTTTGCTTTCGTCTTATCTCTGTAAAGACTCGAACCGAACGTGCGATCCCACCACGCCCGACCAATGGAGGGCAATCCATTGGTGGGGTCACAAGGTCGATTCCAGTCCCATCTGAAGCTCGCTCAAAACCCCACTGTGGCAGAAAGGTACAGAAAATTCTGTAATTTTGTTTGCCAAGAATCTCCGTAGGCTCTTACAGTATCCTCCGTCGGATGGTACATTCTTCTCCGTAGGACCTGAAAGCCTGTTTATTCCCTCGCAGATCACTGTAAGGTCCTACGGAGGAGACTGTACCCTCCGACGGAGGATACTGTAAGGTCCTACGGAAAAACTTGAGAGTGGGGGGGGGGGGTTAACGGAGAATTACCACAAGCTGTTTACAGAATTTTCCGTAGCCTTCTGCCACAGAGCTGTCCGGGATTTTGACCGGGTGGAGGGAGGCGGACAAAACTCTAGACGCGTTTTGAGCTCCAGAATCGCTTAACAGGTCTCGAACCGAACGTGTGACCCCACCAATGGATTGCTCGTTCGGAGAGCAATCTATAGGTGGGGTCACACGTTTGGTTCGAGTCCCATGTAGCGACTCTGGAGCTCAAAACGCGTCTAGAGTTTGGCCTCCTCCGCCGGTCTTCTGGCCCACTGTGCCCACGGGGGTCGGGTTGGGCTTGGCAATCTCACTGCGTCTCCTTCAGGGCCGAGGCCGTCTGGTGCGAAGTGTGCAGCCGTCATTTCAGCGGCGAGTGTGCGGACGCGGGCCACCAGCCCTGCAGCATGCGCCGCAAGCGCGCCCGGCTGGAGCCGCGGCAAGGGCCCGGCGTGGCGGAGCTGCAGCACAGCGTCCAGGAGCTGCAGCGTGAGCTGCAGGAGATGCGGCGGGCGCAGCAACAGCTGGAGCGCAAGGTGAGGACAGGGCTCTCCTACTCTGCAAACTCGCGAGTACATTCTCTTTAGAATGTACACACGACACTTCAACAATTAATTTTCGGAATAAACGACGGATCCTTCGGCTAAAAAGGGCTTCGAAGGGCTTTGTAACTTCACGATTTTTCTTCGTAAATTTATAATGAACCTTCGTATATTAACGACGAACTTCCGTTGGTTTACAAAAAGTCCTGTAGGAAAGACAACATTTACAGTGCACTTTTGGACATTCCCAAAAGCCATCGGAAAATATTCCGTCTTAAAGTCACACCATATTTACAGTGGAGTACATTTCCACGAACTTGTACTCAGTTGCATATATTTCCATGAGATCGAAGGAGTTTTCTGATTTTGGCACACTATCGTTGCAGTGTACACACTAAACTTCTTACGGATACACCCTATCTGTATTACGGACATTTTTGTGCAATTGCAATTACGGATAGATTTTGCTTGTAATACGGATGATTTTATCCGTTATACAAAGGTTTTCGTGTCCGTAACATACAGACGAAAATATCCGTATGGTACGGACGTAAAGTTCTTTGTAATACGGATGATTTCATCCGTATTACAAGCAAAATCTATCCGTAATTGCAATTGCACAAAAATGTCCGTAATACAGATAGGATGTATCCGTAAGAAGTTTAGTGTGTACTCATCTGAGCACATTCTCGTTAGAGTGTACCTACCTTAGGGTGGTCCAAAAAAAAATGAAGTTGCTCGGATCGTCCAACGCCGCCCGGATTTGGATTCTACATCGAAAAAAATGAAATACGTGTTTTTTCCTTTTTCGAAAAAAATATTTTTAGGACCTCCTCAAAGCCCTCAAAGTTTTTAACAGTGCTATTAGAAGGAAAAAATCGTAACTTGGTCATTTTTTGACCGATTTTCAAAACCGAAACGGGGATTTGTTCGTTTGTGAATGCTTATTACGAAAAAAAATATGCCCAAACCCTCTTTTTGGTTTGCCTAACTTTCAGGGGCAAAAAATGACTAAATTTCGGCCCAAATTGGCAAGAATTTCCGTTTGTAGGCCGCTACAGCCACTCCAAGTCCACCTTGTCAGCATGACGGGGTGCCCCCACCACTAGGCAAGCCCCATGAACAGAAATGAGATGCCGAGTGCAATTTGCCTACCTCATAGGGGCATCAAATCGTGGATTTTTTCGAAAATCTATCAATAGTGGTGTCTTTTGGGGCCTCTGGGCACTCAGATGGGCACCCTTTCACCCGGTTCGGTACCCGCACTGCGTGATGAAAACAAACTAAAGGAATTGACTGTTGAGCACCTCATGCCTACCTCTCAGGACCAGAAAAACGTGAAAATTTAGAAAATTCCTTTATTTATTGATGGCTTTTCTTGTGGCCTTGCGTGGCTGCGGTTCCTCGCTCCAGCATCGTCCATTCCTATTGTTTGTTCTTATCACGTAGTGTGGGTACCGAACCGGGTGAAAGGGTGCCCATCTGAGTGCCCAGAGGCCCCAAGAGACACCACTATTGATAGATTTTCGAAAAAATCCACAATTTGATGCCCCTGTGAGGTAGGCAAATTGCACCCGGCATCTCATTTCTGTTCATGGGGCTTGCCTAGTGGTGGGGGCACCCCGCCATGCTGACAAGGTGGACTTGGAGTGGCTGTAGCGGCCTACAAACTGAAATTCTTGCCAATTTGGGCCGAAATTTAGTCTTTTTTTTGCCCCTGATAGTTAGGCAAACCAAAAAGAGGGTTGGGCATATTTTTTTTTCGTAATAAGCATTCACAAACGAACAAATCCCCGTTTCGTTTTTGAAAATCGGTCAAAAATTGACCAAGTTACGATTTTTTCCTGTTAATAGCACTGTTAAAAAACTTTGAGAGCTTTGAGGAGGTCCTAAAAATCATTTTTTCGAAAAAGGAAAAAACACGTATTTCATTTTTTTCGATGTAGAATCCAAATCCGGGCGGCGTTGGACGATCCGAGCAACTTAATTTTTTTTTTGGACCACCCTAACCTACCTGAGCACACTTACGTTCGAGTGTGCACACTCTCAGCCACGTATGGACTTTTAAGTCAATATTTCGAAGGGACGAAAGGGGCCTTTGGGGATTTCGATCAAAAAATTTGATCTTGATCTGATTTTTATGAAACTGGCTTTGATTGTTGGTCTTATTATCCAATCTGATTAGTTACGACTATAAGAAGACCAACAATCGAAGCCACTCTACAAACTGAAGTGTGTACTCAGTATGCATACTTGCGAGTACACACCTACAGATGCATACTTAGCTGAGTACACATCTACAGATGCATACTCAGCTGAGTACACATCTGCAGATGCATACTTGGAGAGGTTAGGTATGCATCTGTAGGTGTGTACTCAGCCAAGTATGCATCTGTAGATGTGTACTCAGCCAAGTATGCATCTGTAGGTGTGTACTTGCGAGTATGCATCTGTAGATGCATACTGAGTACACACTTCAGTTCGTAGAGCAGTTTCCTGTGCTGTCATCGGTTCGAATCTTGTCGAATTCGCGTGACATGACCCCATTGCCACTGGTACGTTAAATAAATAGTGTGTCCGACAGGTCGAGGACAGCTGCACCGTGGCGCCGCCTCCACGCCAGGAACTGGACGTATCTGACATGAGCACTGAAGCGAATCTCCGCAAGGAACGGAACGACCTTCTGCTGGGAGGCCGTTTGGCTCAGGTGAGAGTACACTGTAAGAATCCAATTACTCAGTAAAGTCCTTACGGATATCGTGTTTGTCGGGTACGGATAGTTTTGTGCAGGATCGAATTTCGTTTGTCATACGGATGTGTTTGTTCGTAATACAGAGGTTTTGATATCTGTAATTTACAGATACATACGGAAAATTGAAGTAAAATGTTGCAAACCGAATGTTGCTTCCAGTGATGCAGTAAATCGTTGCAAGGCACCACGGGACACAGGAAAGCTAGTTTAGCTTTCCAAAGTTTCGATGCACACAGTTGGTCAGCGTACTGTGAGGAAACTCCGTTTGGATACGGAAACGTCACGCTGGCTGCCCGTTACTTTTGCAAGGGGAAATCACTTTGAATTTCCGTGTAGAAATCCAATGAATTTCAGTCAAATTATGATGGATTATGTTTATGAATTATGATGAAGTTAACTTAACGAGGATCTCCGTACAAAAGTACAAGGGGAAACAACTCCAGCCAAATTTGTGCACCAAAACTCATCAAACATGTAAAATTCACTGAAATTTATGAAAATTCAGCAAGATTTGTCTGAAATTCATCGAAATTCAACTGAAATTCATCGAAATTCAACTGAAATTCATCGTAGTTTGACTGAAATTCATTGGATTTCTTCACAGAATCATTTATGAATTTTCTCCGCACTAATTGAGGTTGCGTTCCAGGTCCGCAAGCTGACGGGCCTGCACTGCGAGACGGACGCCGACTGGGGCGAGGCCGTGCTGCAGCAGGTCGGGCCGCACGTCGTGGAGCTGGAGGCGGAGAACGCCGACCTGCGGCACCTCCGCGTCATCGCAGGCATGCCGGCGCTGCGCAAGCTGGAGCTGCAATGCGCTGCAAACGTGCAAGGTCCTGGCGACGTCCCCCTGCTGCCGCTGCAGTTGGAAGAGCTGCACCTGCGGGACTTCGCGCTCGGGCACCTCACCTCGCTGCAGTGGATGCCCAAACTGCGGAGGCTGCTGCTGGAGAGCTACGACGACCATGCCCTGGACTTCACTCGCGCGCCAGACCACTGCGGGCTGCAGTGGCTGAGCGCCGGCTTCGGCAGCACTCGCACCATCCTCTCGCTGGTGCGCGCCAACGCGGCCACACTGCAAGAGCTGCATGTGCACTGCGGATCGCGGCGAGGCCTGTGCTTCCGAGAAGATCTCGCCAACAGGTAGGGACGTGCGAACAGTTCGCCACACTCTCAGCACGTTACTGACTTTTTGCACATTTTGTCAGTACTTCACTGGTAAAACCAAAGCGTAGTATTACTTTCTGTTTTCAAGCGTAGTCACACTGAGAATCCAAACGCTATGAGTATAGCGTCAATTGGTGCAATGCAAAAGCATTGCACATGAAGTGCAATGCCTTCTTATTCCCATACATTAGCATAGGGCATTTTCGGGCCGTATTGCACGTAAGGTGCAATATGGCTGCCGCATTGCACGTGTGGTGCGATATCTCAGCTGCATTGCACCATACGTGCTATATTCAGAGCGTTTGGAATCTGAGTGCAGGTTACGCTTGAAATCAGTGAAGCGTAACAGGCTCATCCACCAAGATACCCCCTATCCAAATGCATGGGGGAACTTCCAGATTATGCTTCATTTCAAGCGTAACGTCTTCAAGCGTAACTTGACGCGTGACTCAAGCATAGAGTTACGCTTTAGTTTTACCAGTGTTCTCATAATGGGATCTAAATGGGTCTTTTGTGATTCTTCTCGTTCTTCACTTGGCCACGGCTAGAATGCTCTACTAGCAGGAATCCTTTGTATTGCAGCTAGTTGTATGAAACTTAGAAATTCTAGTGTCGAATGGCTTACTTCGATTCGAATTGAGGGCGGCAACATTTTACCTGTTTTGATTCGAACAAAGCACACTGTGGCAAAAAGGTAGGGAAAATTATGTTCGTTTTTTTTTGCCAAGATTCTCCGTAGCCTAAGTATCAATATCGATGAATATCCTCCGTAGGCTTCTACAGTGTTCTCCGTAGGACCGTACAGTCTTCTCCGTGTGACCTGGAAGACAGTATAGTCCTACGGAGATGACTGTACGGTCCTACGGAGAATATTGACAAGGGGGCTCCGGAGAATTATCACAAGCTGTTTACAGAATTCTCCCTAGCTTTTTGCCACAGTGCATTCGAAATAATGTCATATCCCGTTTGGATTCGATTCGAAACGAAAATCCCTCGACTCGTTACCACTCTGCCGGCAGGCTCTTCCGATGCGGCGCTGGCGCGCTGAGACGAATCACGGTGTACCGCAACGACCTCCAGCACGAGCGTCGGTCCTGCCGCCAGCAGATGGCTTCGTTCCGGGAACGCTTCGGGGCCAACGTGGACGTGCGCTGCAGCCTGTGCGGCGCGGAGTAGCTGCCGTGTCCCAAGGCAACTGGTTGCTCGAGAGCAGAGCGTGCCACAGTGGGCCAGAAGACCGCTGGAGGCGGCCAAAACTCTTGACGCGTTTTGAGCTCCAGAGTCGCTAAATGGGACTCGAACCGAACGTGTGACCCCACCAATGGATTCCTCGTTCGAAGAGCAATCCATTGGTGGGGTCACACGTTCGGTTCGAGTCCCGTTTAGCGACTCTGGAGCCCAAAACGCGTCTAGAGTTTTGGCCGCCTCCACCGGTCTTCTGGCCCACTGTGCGTGCTAACATTTGACTTCTGCAATTAACGTTATTTCTGTATCTCGTAAACGGCTTGAGATAGAAAAGTTATTAATAAGGATGACCCCGTATGAAATTCAATTTAAGATGGGGTCATCCATATGAATAACTTTTCTATCTCTGGCCGTTTACGGGGTTCAGAAATAACGTTAATTGCAAAAGTCGAATGTTAGCACGCTCTGCGAGAGTCGTCCTCAGAAACCGCGGGAATCCTTCGGGCGAAGAAAGATTAGCTGGCACTTGTACACGCCTTCTTATTGTTAATGTGTTTCGGACTTTTCTGGATTTGTTTTGCTTGTTTAGCCAATTTGTTCAGTTTTCTTTTTTGAGTGTGTTCTTTTACAACAGTTCACGTTGGAAAATTAAATATTTATTTTGAAACTAGCATTACGGTACTTCGTTTTCATGCTCTAATGAGTCCGTGCGGCGTTTGGTTCAGCCACTGAAATGCTTCCAAATCCCAACAAAACTGAAAATCAAAATCGAATACACAATCACACTTTTTGAATTTCAGTGCTGTCTTCGAAGTACGTGCACACTATCAAATGCATACTTGTTCAAGCACAGATGCCTTTCAAGCAGTGGCGGATCTAGAGGCGTCCTGGGGGGGGGGGGGTGTAGCCCTTTTTGCCTACTTACAGGGGCAAAGTATCACTTTGTGCCCCCCCCCCCCCCCCCCCCCCCCGGTGGATCCCCCCCGTGCTTTCAAGTGCAGAAGCGTAACATGGCATGGCGTTACGATACCAGACATGTTAGCGCTGGTGAAACATAAAGGCATAAAAATTATGTCCTCAAAGGGCGCTAACGATTTACGCCCCTGGAAAGGCCTAAATCGTTCATGCTTTTGAAAGGGCATTAAAATTTCGCCTGAAAGTCCTATACCATTCACGCAATTCCCTAACCTACTCTACAAATCAAAGAGTGTACATAGTATGCTCTAACTGGAGCATGCCTGCAAGCACGCTCTAGCTAGCGCATGCCTGCCAAGCATGCACTAACTAGAGCATACATGCCATGTACACGCTTCCTGATGCAGAAAACTCCCTATCCCTTATGCAGTAAATGTATGCTTCAGTTAGCGTGTACATGGCATGTATGCACTAGTTAGTGCATGCCTGGCAGGCATGCGCTAGTTAGAGCGTGCTTGCAGGCATGCTCCAGTTAGAGCGTACCATGTACACTCTTTGATTTGTAGAGTAACGTAACCTCCTAAAGGGCTATGTTTTTATTTTTGGCTCAAATTTTGGTGGTCGAAAGTCAAAATAAACTTCAGGACAAATGATGCATGAAGGTGCATTCCATGACAGAATAACAGGCCTTGAGACAAAGGTTGTCAGAATTGGCCCAAATTTTTTTTGGTGACTCTTCCTTACAAGTAGACACTAAAAAAAATATTTTTTATTTTTTTTGAAAATTTTTTGTATTTTTTGTGAATAATTTTAACAAAAAATTTATAAAAACTGCAAATATAAAAAAAGACGTCATCATGGATTTGGCTGAAATTTTTGTGGAAGACTCCCCTATTAGTGTACTAAGAGCCTGCAATCACCCATTGAGGGCCCCATGTACAGGAAAGGAGAAAAAAAATAAGTTATGTTGAAATTGGGGGTATTTTTCACTGTTTTGGGCTAAATTGACATATTATGGCTTCCGTCTCATGACCTTTGACCTTAACGCTTGGGTAACACAATTGAAAAAGCAATCGGTTACTTTCTAAACTAATATGACAATATCTCAGGCTTCTTGTGCTGCTCTTGTTGTACAGGCAGTGAATTAGTTCATGCAATAAATTAGTGGCCCATTTACGCCAATCCCTCCAATCAAAGAAAATACTTGATGCAACAGAATGCAATGACGCCGTGCACCACTAATTCACAACCGTTAGAACACACTAACGGCCGACTAAGCACGTGGTGGCGTCGACGTACACGTCGGCGGCCCGTCGTCCAAGCTCGCGGTTGGTGCGGAGGACCCGGCGGCAGCGGCCGCAGCGGTGGCGACGATTGTTTAGGCACCCGGCACGCCACGGCGCTCCGGCGTGCCTCACGTTCGTCGGCATCCTGGGCGCACCTTTGGTCCGACGGCGACCCCTGACGAGTTCCTGGTAGTCTAGCACTACCTTAACACTATGCTGAAGTCAAAAGTCCCGGACACCCAAGTGGAACGCAGCCAGAGGCCGATGATGATTTTGGCCTCCGAATAAAACGTTGCTTTGACGGACTCCTTGCGGTACGTCCTCGTATCTCCGGAACCGCTTGTCCTAGAGCGTCGGCGACCTCGGCGTTGGACTCCCCGTGTGCTGGGGACCTCGAGGACACCATCGGGGACCACCTGGGTGGTGGCGACAACGGTGTTGAACCGTGTGGCGGCACAGCACCCACGTTCGTCGGCATCCTGGGCGCACCGGTGGTCCGACGGCGACCTCTGACGGGTTCCTGGTAGTCTAGCACTACCTTAACACGATGCTGAAGTCAAATGTCCCGGACACCCAAGTGGAACGCAGCCAGAGGCCGATGATGATTTTGGCCTCCAACTAAAAAGTTGCTTTGACGGACTCCTTGTGGTACGTCCTCGTATCTCCGGAACCGCTTGTCCTAGAGCGTCGGCGACCTCGGCGTTGGACTCCTCGTGTCCTGGGGACCTCGAGGACACCATCGGGGACCCCCAGGTCGCAAATCCGTGGACCTCGGCGTCAATGCCTTTTTTTCCAGACATTATCTGGGAAATTTCCAGATATTATCTGGAAAATGTTATTTCCAGACATTGTCTGGAAATGCCGTTTTTTTTCCAGATATATATCTGGGATTTGACCATTTCCAGACATTATCTGGAAAAAGTAGACATTTCCAGACATTGTCTGGAAAAAAACGGCCATTTCCAGACAATGTCTGGAAATGGGAAAAAATGTCTGGAAATTTCCAGACATCGGTTTCACCGTGTGTGCACTACAGGACCACCAGGCTGCAGGTCAGGCACGCCGTCCGCGAAGGACATAGTGGAGGGTGGGACAGCGATACTCCGCGCGCGAACTCGGAGTATGTCTGACGCATTATGTATGACGACTTGTATGTGTAATGAAGGTATGCGTAAAGAATTTTATGTGTGTTAACAGTACTTTAATTCTGAATAAATAGTATGTGTGTCGCAAAATTAATTTTGTTTTAATTTTAATTTAGGAAACTAAAAAATAAAATAAAATGTTTATGTCTGTCGCAGTCTATGACTGAATCCGGTTATGTGTGTCATAAAGTATGTCTGTCGCAGCGCCCCCAAAAAATTTGGGCCAATTCTGACAACCTTTGTCTCAAGGCCTGTTATTCTGTCATGGAATGCACCTGAAGCGGAAGAAGGGGATAGCTCAATTTTCATCATTTTCCAGGAGAAACAAAAAAACTGTTTGCAGGGTAAACTTAATCCTTTAAGATGAATGATGCAATTGCATTTTTGTCAAGAAAGCCTAAGAAATAACTGAAAATTTTCAAAAGGGTAGCATCACTCTGTAGACGGTTTCTGTGATTTAAATCGTTACGTTGGAATGGACTACGGAACCATGTAAACTTAGTTCTCTCAAACAGTCGAGACAATTCAACTGGAGCTGAGGTCTTCATAGAGTCTGTATTTCTGTGGTACATTTTTGGAGTTACCTCTTTTTTGGCCCGTCCCGTTTATTTTTTGTAAAAAATGACGGAGGGACGGGCATATAGTATGATCCCTGCTGTGCGTTCCGTCCGTCCGTCCGTCCGTCCGAGGACTACCCTGCTGGAATGCTGGATGCGAATAGGACGTCCAGGATTCGTCCAATTGCCATCCCGTACATCCACGACCTACTAGATGCATCTTCCAGCTATCCACGCATCCTGCAGGCCATCCTAGTTTCGTCCAACTTATTCAATGGCGTCCGACGCGCATCAAGATTAGATCCTGTGCATTCCAGGCAGAAAAACATAAGGTGTCCATGACGTATCCACCGCATCTCTGCGTTCCGAAATCGTCCCATGTGTGTCCACGTATCTCATCACGAACCATCCGCAACCCATCCTCGCATCCTTGCCATCTCAGAGCCATCCGCCTCGTATCTCTGCATCCACGTGGCCAAATTGAATCACAGTAGCGTCCTAGTATCCAACCGTTTGACGCATCCCTGGCGCGTCCATGGCGTCCGCCTTCTTCCGCAAAGCATCCCCAAAACATCCAGCGCGTCTGCAACGTACCGTAAGCATCCGTAAGGTATCCGGACGACCCACCCTCATCCTGAGCGCATCCGTCGGCCTCCAGTCTATCCCAGCAATCCATTTGGCATCCCGAGTGCATCCAGGGCGTCCTGTACACGTCCAAAGCGCATCCGGACCGTCCCCTCGGCATCCAAAATGCATACCGTCCACCTCCAGCCATCCTCCCCCGTCATCCGGAATGCACCCGGGGGCGTCCTGTACGCGTCCTGAGAGAACCGGAGTGTCCGAAAGGCATTCCGAAAGCATCCAGACATCCAGGATGCGTCTCAGTACATCCGACGCATCTTGGATGCATCCAAAAGACACCAAGCATCCAAAATGCGTTTAAAGGACATCCAACGCATCTAAGATGCGTCCAAAGGATATCCAACGTATCCAGGATGCGTCCAAAAGACATACTGATTTTTAAACTCTATCTTGAAAAAAGGGGGGTGACCAACTGAAAATTTTTATTGTTGATTTGAATAGATCTTGTTGAGACCTTTTCAAGGAGTGGTCGGAACATGGGTC